GAATTACCTGACCTAAAAACAAAAATTGGTTACAGAAAATAATAAATTTATTCATTGCTTTCATTGTCTCTTCTCTTGTATTTTTAAGACTGTTGGATATGCAGATAATGTGTGCATTTAAGTACCGAGTCTTTTGTTGAAACGTGCACTTGAAAGTAACAATGAGGTATTACGGTATTTTGTTTACCATGGGTATATTCTCAATTTTGGATTAATTTGCTATCAACCACAGCCTACTCTCCACCCATTATAAGGGTTAAAATGCGGTAATTTATAGGACATTTACAATTTGCTGGATTACACCTTAGGTTCAAGATGCAGCCATTGCAAGCTCAAAACTATACCTGTTACATATAGTTATTTCAATCAGTATTCTCTTATTAAAATAGCTGTACTAAAGTAATATGTAAAAAGCAGGCCAGAGTGGAAATAAAATGTAAACAAATGACCTTATTTAACTGCCCTCTATAAGAAAAACAACTTTTCCAAACACAACCGTTACCATATAGGAATGAGCTTTAATAATTAACTGTGTCAAGGCAAAGTGAAAAATGGCTTTTTTTTTTTGTTGCAATAAACATCAAAAGGAGCAGTATTATCAAGACGACAGATTGTATCACTTTCTAAAAGTGGCATGTTTGCAGAATGCCAAGAGCAAGCTACTGGAACGAAAAGGTAATTATGCTTAATTGTTTGTTTGTGGATGCCAGGTAGTTGGGCCTACAAACAAAGGACATTACAACAGTGACACCTCAGATCTTCCCAATCACCTGGCTTGTCACTTTTTAATGGCTTACCTGTGGCTTGGGTGCTTGTATCTAGCAAGTTGCGGGGCATTTGCAGAGGGCGATTTCCAAGTATCTTATCCAGCTCCTCGAAATGCTTGCACGTTTTGTGCCCCTTACCACTACCACTGAAAAAATATTAAGAAAGAAACACTTGAAGATGTAATGAACACATGGATATTGGTAATCAACAGTAACAGCACCTGAGAGATGAATCACAAGATACCACATGAAAAATAAGAAGGTGAATGAAGTCAGAAATCTGACAACGTAACTGATAATTGCAAAATTCAAAAGAAACTCACTTGTTGTTGTCTTTTACTTTTTTATAGTTCTCCTTCAACTTTCTGATTCTGTTCTGGCAAGCCTGCATGGCCTGAACGATCAACACCCGAATCCTTTCTCAGCCGCTCTGCAATCTTCCTGTAAACCTGAACATTAGTAAAACGCACACTCGCAAAATGTGCTTGCATATCTTCCTCCCCCCAGATGTTGATGAGCGCGATAGTCTCAGCATCTGTCCAATTTTCCACCCCCTTTGACCTTCCTCCAACTTGTTTTGCACTACCACTAGCCATATTACGCGTCTGTATGCTCGAGTCGTCACAACTAAACTGATGAACTCCACAGCTTAGAGACACTACTGCGCATGTGTCAAGGTATCAGAATCTCCTCTGAGCACAGCCCAGAATTAATTACAGCTTTGGAAGTAACTGGCTCGCGCTGCCAGTAATTACGCCGCGGGGTATTCAGGGCACAGATACCGCAAATAGAAAATAAATTTTTAGAAAATAGATTTTCCATGTGCACAGTCCCTAAGTATAGAGAGGTCCAACAAGACTGGTTTGCCAAAAAAGGGATTTCATGGCATGTCACAGCAGCAGTGATGATTGGTGATGGTGAAAATCATGATGTAAGAAACATTGAGGTCTCATTTATAAATATTAGATTTATAAATTCATAAACTTACTATTTGAACTTATTTGAATATTTATAACATTCTATTAGTTTCTACTAAGCAGGATCAACTTGGATTGATTTCTTTTTGGAGAGGTATTTGCTTCACCCTCCATTTTGCACAAGGAAAAATGTCATTTGAATCTTTTTTTTTCTGTGTATATATACACACATACATAATTACCTTTTCAGATACACTCACATATTGGACAACTGTGTAAAAAATTGGTTTATTGTCATTTCAATTTTGGAATCATCCCTCCGTGAATTACAGAAGAGAGTTCCTGCTGTCAGAGAGGTGTTCCTGAGATCTGATAACGCTGGGTGTTACCATAGTGCTCAACTGCTGCTGGCTATTCCTGAACTATCGTCCCATTTGGGGTTACAGATAAGGTGCTATGATTTCAGCGAGGCACAAGCTGGAAAAGCTGCCCCCAGATTCAGGTGTCTGGAAGCAGGCTGCATAGCATGAAGTCTTACCTAACTGAGGAAGAACTTACATCCCATACTGCTGCAGGTCAGCATCTTTTTGAACAGGTTGGCTATGACCTTGTAAGGTCCAAGTGGGCCCAAAGATTGGGCGAAGTGAAAACGAGCAGCACTGCTGAAAGTGTGCTAGCCCCAAGCACTTAAAAGCAAAGGGACAGAAGGGACCTCCCAGCTGGCTGGGCCCTTAAGGTTCCAAGAAGTGTGAGAAGATATACACAGGGAGTTCAGCAATTTCTACTGGCAGAATTCAACAGGGGTCTTGAAACTGGGAGAAAAGAACAACCAGCATATGTAGCAATACAAAGAAATTAAAAGTATCTATAGATACTGTCACTGGCAAGAAGCCGTTTTCAAGGGACGACTGGCTCACAACCCAGCAGGTCGCCAACTATTCTTCAAGACTTTTAGTTTTGTGTTTGAATATCTCTGGGGGAAGAACAATGATTGGCAAGACAATACCTTGTAAATATATAACTTAGTAAGGTAATAATAAGCATATGCAAGAGTAGCGTGCCTGCTTACTGAAAATCTGCTCCGAAAGCTGAGAAAACCTAAAATTAGGCATAAATCCCCAAAAATACGGTATTGGGAGATGTCATATGGCAAAAGTTAAAAGGGTCCCCAGGCAAGTATTTCGGCCCAATAAGGTCAAATTCTGTGAACCTTCACCTTACCGCACTTGTCTGGTGCTTAGGAAAACTGGCACTTAATCTCTAAATGTTACATTGTGTACCCTAACTGGCCCTTATAGCTTCAATTAAAATTGTAAAATACACAGTACTATATATAAATATCAGTCTTACAAATACATACTCTAGTTCATGATGGCATGCTCACGTCATTATCATAGCATCACGCACAATAAAATAATACATATTAAGAATCTTAAAGCTGTCAAGATGTTTCCAAGATCCTTAAGGAGAGGTAATTTTTTGGTCATATGAGGTTAAAACATCATCATTTAAATTATTTTTTACAGGTTTTCCATGTCAAACCACATGTAATGTCCAGAATTGTATATGATGGAAACATGACTTATTTTTCTAACTTAAAGGTTAGTTAGCCATATTCACTTTGAATAGGTAGCCGAATATGCTTTAAAGAAAAAACTTTCAATTTTAGCCATTGTACATAAATATTTCTTTTGACAAAAATACAATTTTTTTTCATTATGTCTTAAAGGTGATTTTACGGTCTCTTGGAATCTGTGTTATAAATCTAACCTCAAATAATATATGATGAAAATACTGAATATTATTTTTAAAATGTTTTTACAATGTTTCGGAAAAATGTTTTCAAAAAACCTTTTAAAAACGTTCTTAACACATTTCAAGAAAACATTTTCACTAAACCCTTTTAAAACGTTCTTGAAATGTTTCAAGAAAACATTTTTAAAAATGTTTTTTAAACGAGCCTGGGCATATCTCTGCCAGTTTTGGAGATATAAGGGCCTAAAAATTTGCAAAGTTCAGTTCATGGTGAAAAGTAGGTCAAAAGTCAATTTCAGGGTCACATTTAGATTGCCAATATGTGACTTCCTATTCAAGTTCAAGAGTAAAACTGGCACTTTTAAAAATGCATTAATATATATATATGTTATAGATTTAAAAAAAGGTTACCTTCCCTATTTATGTTAAAAAGACCATCATAACTCTCAATACTTTTCTTTTAATTTTCATAGAGATATACATGTAAGTTTGGTGGCATTCAGTTAGTAATTGTTTCCTATCCCAAATTGCAATAAATAGATTAATTTGAATTAAATTTCGCTTGCTTCTATTTTTAATTTTTCTTTGTTTGTGATAAAAAAAGACCTCTGAGAATATGACATCATAGTGGGAGTTCGCATTAGATGAGGACACTACTCTGCCTTGGTACATGTAAGTGTTCAACCCTTATATGGGACTCTCTTAGATTTAAATTTTGGATTTGGGTTGTTTTTACTTATGTAGGCAGTTTATCTCTGCAATAATTGTAATTCTGCTATAAGATATGCTTGACATTAGGCAATTACAAATCTATATAAATTTTGAAGACATATTGTAATGACTTGGGCTTATTTTTTCACATGTGTCTATAGTATTATGACAGAAAGGAGGGTAAATTCATGTATGTCAATTCCCTTGGAAAGACTGGCCAAGAAAAGGATATTATCACAAGAAACTGGAGGTAGTTGAATATTAAAACTGTCATGTAAAAAAATGATAATATATCATATTGTATCGTATTAATAATAGGTTTATAACAATTATGTTAATTTTATGTGCAAAGTGCAGACAATTCAATATTATGATTAAGTTGAGAGGTATAATTTTTCTTGTAATGTAATTTCAGCAACTTTTCCAGAAGAAAAGAAATCGGGTGCCAGATTGTCACCATCGACCATGAAAAACAACTAGATGGCTACACTTGTGGACTATGGTGTATACATGTGAGTTATGTTACCTAGGAAGCACACATTGTAATATAAGGTCTAAACCTGTACACCTTTGAAGAGTCCCCAAGTGAAACATTTATAGGGCAATAAAAAATAATTTTATTACTTAGCTCCCCAGCAAGGATCTTGGCAATATTTAATATGACCAGACCATGTATATGCACTGAGGAAAAATATAAAATGTGAATTTATTAATACATGTAATGAGCTATGGACAGAAGTCTATATCTATGACAGCACGGACAGTAATCTGTAATGTATTGAACAACAAAATTAACTTTGTATACACATAATATTATATGTATATATACATTAAAATAATGTGTGGGGTTTTTCCTTTTACACTTAGTATATAAATAATCATTTTGTTATTATTATTAATTTTCATTCAGGCAGTGGAACACCTGTTTGAATATGGTTTGGACAAAACACCAAAGATCTGCCAGACAGACTTTTTAGAAGGCTTTAAGGTTCTCAGAGAGTTGTGTGATTTCTGGCAGACCAAAGGCTCCATTTCTGCAAATCAATGTCAAAGTTTGAAGAATGATTTATCAACAAGCCTGCATTACTTGAAGACACACAATAAAAATTGAACCTGAAGAGAGAAGACACGTGCCCTAACCACTGTATCACAGGGCTCCTCAGATGATTGATCTTAGATACTCAGTGTACTACAGTTTGGTAGTATTGTCTCTAATTTTGTCCTCTTGTTTTCATTTACAGGAAGGTATGAAATAAGCATCTTGACCATAACAGCTCCACCAGAAAACTTTATGTGCAGAAAAATTGATCCTACTTGGGTGAAAGAAATTAAGAAGGGATTAAAGACATCTCCAGTAAATCACACTGTCATCTTGCCATGTCTTTTGCTGGGCGATGAAGACTTTGATGAGGCAAAACTGCCAACTTACAAAATAGTTTCACTTGGAGGAAACCATCTTCGAGTGGCCTGCCAGCAGCTTCTTCAGGAGTGTAATGAAAACCATTTGGATTGTATCAGAACAATTCAGGTGGACTTATATCACAAATTATCCCTGCATCAAGCACTGCAGTTGGCAAACATTCATAATCTCAAAAATGAAGTGTCACAGGTAATGATAATTATTATAGAAAAATGATTTAAATTGTGCTCCCCTATTATTTCCAAGAAAGGAGGAATGGCAGTGTATTTATAGAAATGGTGGGAACTCAGAGGGCACGCAATAATATGCATATCTCACAATGTCAAAACATAATTTCCCTGGCAGTAGTAAAAATGTTGAATAAATAATTTATCTTGAAAAATTAAATATGAGAAATGTAACTGATCTGTATTAAACCTAAGCATTGCATACCCTTGCACTGTAAAGCACTCACTGATTCAGTGAGATTAAATGTCCCTGTTAAAATCTTTCAGACAACCTTGCAAGATCAGGTCAGGCATGTAAGAAAAAAACTATATTCCATGACAAATACGCCAGAGGATCAAGAACCCCCTAGTGAGCCTGAAAATTTCAGGCGTGAATGTCTCATTGAACTAGCAATGGAAAACTTATTGACAATCAAGCATGCATTGCAAATTAAAGTAATCATTTTGATCAGGTGAAAAGAATTTTTTTTTAAAAAGTGTCCTTATATCAACATAAACTTTACAGCATGCAAGAAGTATGAGTTTTCTGTTCAACATGGCCAGTTATCCAGCTGATAACTGGAGAAGATATTTTAGAAAGTGGAGACAGGTGTTATTGCTGCAGAGAAATCTTCACATCGTGCAAGATCCATAGGGAGAACAGTAAGTTGAGCAAGAAACTGTTGTTTATGGAAATAATAGATGATTAGTTCAAATTTAAAATTTATCTGAAGTGAACAAAAGTTTTGTTTGAAAATCCATACTTTACAATGGTAACTGTGCTTTACAATCTTAATTCAGAATACATTTTCTTTTAGAATAAATCATAGAATATTCAATACCAATGTTTATCTGATGAAAATTAAAAAGGAAAAAAGAATCAGAACAGTGTAAATTTTGCAATCCTGCTAGGGAAACTATTTTTCACATTTTTTTGGGATTGCCCACATGTACAAAATGTTGAGATGAGCATTATTTGCTCTGTAAAAGATAATTTAGGTGTAGTTATTAAGAGATCTCCTGAGATTTTTGTATTCAGGCTTGTGCAAGCCTATGATATAAAAGGTCTTTATTTACTTATTTTAATAATCAAAAAATTTGTTAGTATATATAGAATGATATCAGAAATCGCAACATGGAAGGAACTAGACATATGTTAAATACTACAGAAATATTTGTTTTCATTCTTTATATGTATACCAACAAAAAACATGTTAAAACAAAATGAGAAAATATTAATTGTATATTACAATTAAATGGACAAGCAACCATTTATGGATATACTTCTTTGAATTTTAACTGTAAGATTAACTTCTATTGCTATCTGGTCCGTGTATGGGGGGGGGGGTTTCCATTTCGTCAGAAAATGGAAAAACGGCCGTTTTTTTATAGAAATGGCCAAAATGTAATGGAAAACGAAACTCAGTTTTCGTTTTTTCCATTTAAAATGAAAAATGGCAAAACGAAAATTGCCCTTGGTTTTTTCATTTTTTCCAGAAAATGCAAAATAAAAGATTGACAGATCCCTGATGTGTTAGAAAATATAAATATCGACTGGTATCGTGTTTTCCAATGATGAAAAGGTGGAATAGATTACAAAATACCTTTTTTTCGCCATCTGTGCAGAAATCAGAGAATCGAGCTCATTTTTCCATTTTCAATTCAAATTGAAATAAAAACAAAGTCAGTTCATTTTTCTGATTTTCATTTTAGGGATGAAATGGAAAAATGGAAGTATAGGCAGAAAAATGGCTGCCATTGAAAGTTTTCTAAATATTATTAGAGATTTAGTTAAGAATTTCAAGACAAATGAGGAAAGTTCAAGCATTCTAAAGACACAATAGAGAGTCTTGAGAGGCGCATCTGTAAGGAGCATAAAGACAATATGTTCAAAGTACAACATTCGGAGGTCTTATGTAACACCAACTGAGGTCATGGCAAATGAAGTCGCAATAGCTATTGGAGAGATAAGTACATGTAGCTATCTGTAAACGATATTTGGGTGTGCACCCTTCTTTTTTGTTAGCCCAACCAAATGGTCTGTGGTCTGCGGTAGATATCCCAACATATTGCAATATCAATAAAACCCCATCCCAAACTGAAAAAGTAGACTGAAAATGGAGCTGCTGCTATAAAAGTACAGACAAATTCTATCATATAAAGCTTATAAAGATGTAATGAGCTGACATTAAGTTTCCCTTTAAGTCATAACAGAAACGGAGATACATAACTAGTGCTTGCATTTTTTTTGAGCCCATGAGAATTCCACGTCGATTCAAAAATTGCATCTGAAAAATTGCCACTGCCAATCTTGGCCAATCAGTCTCTTATATAGTGTTAATTCATATTTTAAGTTTATTTAAAACATGCTGTTTTGTAAATGATATAATATCGAAGAACATGTGCTTTATTTAAAGGTAGGAACTATATATGGGCATAAGATGATGACCCGCTATCTTCAGTCAAAGGGCATCAAAGCAGGGGAGACGCTAGTCGGGAAAGTCTTAAGAGAAGAAAACCCGAATCACCAATAGCGACAGGTTCATCTCATGATTAAAAATATTTTGAGTGATTCATACATACATATATATCAATAAAAGCAGTTACGCAAAATAAAGATTTCCAATTCATATAATGTACTATAGAGAAAAAATGTTATCATTCATTGGCAATGACTTGAAACTGCAATAAACATATAACATGAATAGCGTGATGTGCTCATTAGTTTTGTGATTCATATATCAGGTCTCAAAAAATCTAAACCCAATACCGTATCAGGTGGCTTATTTTAGACACAAAATGCATATAGACCAGAACGAAAAGCTGGTTATGTACTAGCGCAGGATGGCTTTAGTGGAAAAATCATGTCCCACGCAACAATGAACATCAAAAATAATTTAACGATTTATGAAGAAATTAACAAGTAGTGTGACGATGTATCCCATCTCACATATTTTAACCATACCCATTTTTTTTCATATTGTATGTATCTATTTCTTCTTTCTTCGTCTTTGGCGGGCGTTGATTGGATAATTCTCCCACATGATAAGAATCTTCATGTGATCCTAGTCGTCTGCCATGCCCTTTTTTACTCTCTCATTTGTAATTGACCAGAGCGGTCATACAAATACTGTAACTTCATTCTCTATTTCTACAGGTGAGCTAATTATTCTTTCAAATTCAATTGCCATGTAACTGGGCGTGGGATGTGGGGCAATCGATTTTAGGATGGGATCCCAGTACTGGCAACAGTGCTAAATTAGCATAGACTAAAGGTGTATTACTCCCTTTTATNGAACAAAGTGATTTCCATTTCGTCAGAAAATGGAAAAACGGCTGTTTTTGATAGAAATGGCCAAAATGTAATGGAAAACGAAACTCAGTTTTCGTTTTTTCATTTAAAATGAAAAATGGCAAAACGAAAATTGCCCTTGGTTTTTTCATTTTTTCCAGAAAATGCAAAATAAAAGATTGACAGATCCCTGATGTGTTAGAAAATATAAATATCTACTGGTTTCGTGTTTTCCAATGATGAAAAGGTGGAATAGATTACAAAATACCTTTTTTTTCAACATCTGTGCAGAAATGAGAGAATCGAGCTCATTTTTCCATTTTCGATTCAAATGGAAATAAAAACGAAGTCAGTTCATTTTTCTGATTTTCATTTTAGGGATGAAATGGAAAAATGGAAGTATAGGCAGAAAAATGGCTGCCATTGAAAGTTTTCTAGATATTATTGGAGATTAAGTTAAGAATTTCAAGACAAATGAGGAAATTTTAAGCATTCTAAAGACACAATACAGACTCTTGAGAGGCGCATCTGTAAGGAGCATAAAGACAATATGTTCAAAGTACAACATTCGGAGGTCTTATGTAACACCCACTGAGGTCATGGCAAATGAAGTCGCAATAGCTATTGGAGAGATAAGTAGCTATCTGTAAACAATATTTGGGTGTGCACTCTTCTTTTTTGTTAGCCCATACAAATGGTCTGTGGTCTGCGGTAATGATCTGTGAAGAATTAGCCGAGATATCCCAACATATTGCAATATCAATGAAACCCCTTCCCAAACTGAAAAAGTAGACTGAAAATGGAGCTGCTGCTATAAAAGTACAGACAAATTCTATCATATAAAGCTTATAAAGATTTAATGAGCTGACATTAAGTTTCCCTTTAAGTCATAACAGAAACGGAGATACATAACTAGTGCTTGCTTTTTTTTTTTTGAGCCCATGAGAATTCCACGTCGATTCAAAAATTGCACCTGAAAAGTTGCCACTGCCAATCTTGGCCAATCAGTCTCCTATATAGTGTTAATTCATATTTTAAGTTTATTTAAAACATGCTGTTTTGTAAATGATATAATATCGAAGAACGTGCTTTATTTAAAGGTAGGAACTGTATATGGGCATAAGATGATGACCCGCTATCTTCAGTCAAAGGGCATCAAAGCAGGGGAGACGCTAGTCAGGAAAGTCTTAAGAGAAGAAAACCCGAATCACCAATAGCGACAGGTTCATCTCATGATTAAAAATATTTTGAGTGATTCATACATACATATATATCAATAAAAGCAGTTACGCAAAATAAAGATTTCCAATTCATATAATTTACTATAGTGAAAAAATGTTATCATTCATTGGCACGGACTTGAAACTGCAATAAACATATAACATGAATAGCGTGATGTGCTCATTAGCTTTGTGATTCATATATCAGGTCTAAAAAAATCTAAACCCAATACCGCATCAGGTGGCTTATTTTAGACACAAGATGCATATAGACCAGAATGAAAAGCTGGTTATGTTTGGAGTGACCCATGTACTAGTGCAGGATGGCTTTAGTGGAAAAATCGTGTCCCACGCAACCATGAACATCAAAAATAATTTGACGATTTATGAAGAAATTTACAAGTAGTGTGACGATGTATAAAGTCCCATCTCACGTATTATACCATATCCATTTTTTTCATATTGTATGTATCTATTTCTTCTTTCTTCGTCTTTGGCGGGCGTTGATTGGATAATTCTCCCACGTGATAAGAATCTTCATGTGATCCTAGTCATTTGCCATGCCCTTATTTACTCTCTCATTTGTAATTGACCAGAGCGGTCATGCAAATACTGTAACTTCATTCTCTATTTCTACAGGTGAGCTAATTATTCTTTCAAATTCAATTGCCATGATGCATTATTTATTTAGTTATATTATTAAATGGTGTATTTATTTGATCAGTTATTTTGTTTAAACTAAGTGTTTTATTCATTGTAACATGTAGAATCTCTCTTTTGTAATTGACCAGAGCAGTCGTGCAAATACTGTTACTTCATTCTCTATTCCTACAGGTGAAATAAATAACCTTAAATCTATTACATAGTTGTGTGTTTTTAAACAATAAAAACACACTGTGACAATAGTGTTATATATTAAAGGTAAGATAACAACTCACTCTTATCACTTCCTGTTACAAATGTCTTAATATTGTATTTCACAAATTGATCACGACACTTTTGTCCTTTAAATTCTTAAACAGCATAACTGGATTCAAAATTACCCTTTAAAATGCCCAAATGCCCAAGACTCTTCACACAAGAAGTGTGTGTAAATATATAGTAATTAGTATATATCAAATAGACTTATCAAGAAACTTTTAAAATATTTCACTTCATTAAAATATCAAATTTGAATATTATCTTTTGTCATGTGTGTTAATGTGAGTGTGTTCAATGACTTTCTTTGTTACAAGTGCATCACTTTCAAAGTGAAAAGACACATAAATAAATAAATAAATAAATAAATAAATAAATAAATAAATGTGGAAAAACATGGTGTTGTTTTTATTGCCATAAAAGAAAAGTTTGGAGCTTTTGAAACCTTAGTTTTATATCAATTTCACATCTGAGAGATTATACTTGCGTGTAGATGTAATCAATCTGTAGATTTCAGCTTTGGTTTGAATGGCATGTTTGGATGGGGCCTTAAAGATAATGGCATGCAATATACTGACAGATAAAGATATGTTAAACTGTCAAGAACTTCATAGTTGTTTGAAGGTTTTGATTTTTTTTGTTTAGTTTTCATAAAGTTTGTCATGTAACTCAGACATATAAAATACTTCACTGAAAGAAATTACTGTTTTTAACTTTTTAAACATAGCTTGTGTTTTTTGAAATCAGTCTTTATAATTACAGCAGCAGACAATGAGCCCATAAAACTAAATATGTGTGCTCAAAAACAATGAAAATTACAGATTAAGTAAAACCTGCCCAAAGCTAGGGCATTATAGAGTCATGGACAGTCATTAAATATATTATCGCCCTCCACAGATATTATCATTGCTATATTACACTATATACCATTCATACTTACAGACTTTGAATCATGAAACCTCAGGCAAGTGAACCTTTTGACTACTGAACCTTTTGAACCATTGGAACTTAGCATCACCAAACTATCAGACCAATGAACCTTTTGACTACTGAACCTTTTGAACCATTGGAACTTAGCATCACCAAACTATCAGACCAATGAACCTTCTGACTATTGAACCTTTTGAACCATTGGAACTTAGCATCACCAAACTATCAGACCAATGAACCTTCTGACTATTGAACCTTTTGAACCATTGGAACTTAGCATCACCTAACTAACTATTAGACCAATGAACCTTCTGACTCTGTCATGCACTTGACAAATCATTTAACAATTAACTTATAATAATTTCATAAATTCACAAAATGACAATATATTTACCTCCGACAAGGAGGTTATGTTTTCACCCTTGTTTGTCTGTCATCAACATAACTCAAAAAGTTATGGACCAATTTTGATGAAATTTTCAGGAACTGTCAGAAGTGGGCCAAGGATTAGATGATTAGTTTTTGGTGGTAATCTGGATCAATAATCAATCAATAATCAATAATTATCAAAAACTGCTGCCTTGGCAGAGGTCTGCGCTCTTGGAGTGCTTTCCTAGTTAGTAATTAAAATAAATATCAGAATCAGAAACAAACACAGACAAAAATACACAAACATATCTACATTGCTACTTCAATTTGAAATACTCAGGACATATTATAGCATCAAATCCAAACTGCTTAAGATATCAAACAATATCATTAAATAATCCAATCATGCTGATTTTCTAGAGGAATTAACATTAAAACAAAAATACAGTTTATCAGTTAAAGGGTAAACAATAGATGTGTCACAAAGTGCTGACTATGGCAATGCCACTGGACAGACACAGTGATCAGAATATAGACAGACTGAAAGTGTCTGTATATAATAAATAAGTCATAAAAATTGCATTATGCAGCTTAATGACCTCATAATAACAGAGATTATTTATAACACATCATATCTGCACTGAAATATATGTATTCACATTAAAACATTTTCAATGACGTCTTTTTCTGTTCAATGATGGCTTATTGCTATATATGCTACCTCTTTTAGTACTGTAACAATTTCCATGCACATGGGGAAATTATTATAACACATCACAACTGAGCTGAAATAGCAATTCACTTTCAAGCATTTCCATTGTGTCAATTTGTCTTCAGTGATAGAGTATTGTCTAAAACAATCTCCTTGCTTTATATACCCTGCCTCTATAGTTTCCATGCATATGGGGGAAATGGATTCTTTGTGTTACCTGGAACCCACATTTGTTGTGCAATTGTACTTTTCCATATAACTGGCTCCACAGGATCTGCATGTCATCTTTAAAAGTCTTGTTCTGGGTGGTTCTGGCAGCACTCTCTCTCAGTCAGTATAAAATTGACCTCTTGGTCTGCCAGCAGCTCTTTACACAATTCCAGAAGTGTTTTTGCTAAAAACATAAATGAAATGAAAGTAACTGTTTGCAATGCAACTGGATCACCTCGATAATATAGTGCAAACTATTATTAGGAACCATCTAATGATACATTATTCATATATAGGATGCTTTTGTAAGATGCACAAGATCATTTTCACATCACAGTACTTGATATTTATATCTTGATACTGCTCGTATGTAATGGTGATCAAATTAAAATATAATTATTCATTTTATGTTTTGTGTGTACAAGATGAATTGCTTCAAATTCTTAACAAATGATTGGTGTGATTAATAAAGCACTTGATGAATATAAAAATTAAATTTACATTACAATTAAAGCAGTGACACATTAACTTTATTCATAATAATCCATGCTTTCCATATTGAAATAATCATTTTACCCCCCCCCCCCCCCACAAAAAAAATGTAACAATTGGTGTTTGTGTCTCTACACAAATGAAAGAGGGGAAACAAATTACCGATCTTTCTTCGCATAAAAAAAAACATACATTTTATCTGCTATCGTCAAGAGGCCCAGTCACAATGGCTGTCCTGTCTCTGGCTGTTCATTCATCCTAAAACTTGCCACATCCTTTGTCTTGCAGTGAGATGAAGATGTTCCTGTTGCTGTATTTTTATGTCTGCTTCATATAAAATACATCCCCCCATGTTCAGCCAGGTAAAGTCAGTTCACCTAGAAAGAACCATGCTGTATGGAGACTGGAGCTTGAAAAAAAGAGACATGACAATGTATAAGTGAAGGAACACAAATTATCTAATACAAAGAAAAGACAAAAACCTGACAGTCCACCAGAGCCAGTTGGGAAAATATTAAAACTATGGTACACTGCCAAGTGCCCATCTTATATGGGAGACAACAATGTTGTGGTGAATGAACTGTGATAAGTTAAAAATAACCTTGCCTTTTGGAGGCTGCTGGGCACAATTGTGACTGCCGAGACCAGCACATTCTCAAATTGAACACAGATAAATAAACAGAACTCTGCCAAATCTGTTGGAATTTTTGTGAAATTTGCACACAAAATGCTTAACACCTGTAAAAATCTGGGATAATTATATCAGTTGGCTGTGACTAATAAAAGACATATATATATATATATATATATATATATAGAGAGAGAGAGAGAGAGAGAGAGAGAGAGAGAGAGAGAAATGCACACAAACAAAATTTTAAAACATGTATTCATTTTGTATATGTTTTGTGCATATAAGTTTAATTGTTTAAACTAAATAAATGCATTGGTAACAAATGTGAGGTGTGGATCAAAAATGACATTAATTACTAGATACCTACAATGCACACTACAATTTTAAGTTGGTTCCTTTTAAATAAACAAGTGTGGACTATTATAACAACCCATGCTTTTTAAGTAACATTAAAATCAATTAAATCTAAAAAATGTGTTAATTGGTGTTTTTGTCCCTATAGAGGTAAGAGAAGACCAATTATACCCACTGCTACTTGAAAAACAAAATCAACTGTTCATTTTGTGTACTACCTGCAAGAAGTCCAGTTCCCTGTTTACCATGGCTGTCCTGTCTCTGGCTCTTCACAACCCATTCATCCTGAAACTTGCTGTCTTGCACAACTGTGTGACATGAAGGGATATTCCTGCAACTGTTATTTCCTGTCTATTTTATATTAACAATACATGTCCCCCATGTCCAGCCAGGTAAAGTCTGTTCACCTAGAAGACACCATGCTGTATGGAGACTGGAGCTGGAAAAAGAGACAAAAGATTATATGAATGAAGTGACATAAATTATCTTAATAAAAGGACAGAACCCTGACAGTCCACAAGAGCCAGCAGAACATTTAACCTACAATATACTACCTAATTATATAATGTCCACCTAATATGACAGACATCACAGTTATGGTGACTGAACAGAGACAAGTTTAAAATGTCTTTTGGAGGCTGCTGGGCACAATTGTGACAGGTACAACTGTCACAATCTTTAACTGATCAAAGTTAAATAAACAGAACTCTGCCAAATCTTCTGGGATTTTTGAGAAACCTGCACACAAATTGCCTATAAACAATGGCTGTAATAATCTGGGATAAGTATATCAGTTGAATGTGCCTTGTAGAAGTACATTTTGTGAGGAGTAACATAAGAGAAGTGAAAAATTTTATTAAATTTAAAGGAAGCACATATGATAACTGGTTTGTTGATCTACACAGGAAGGATAGAAGACAAATTACTTATTGTAACACAACTTGTAAAACAAAACCAAACAATAATTTTGAGCACTACCTGCAAGGTGTTGTTTTTGGCATGGTGATGGGTGAGGGTGGGTTATGACCACTGCTCCACCTTTGGTCAAATACATATCATCTGTTATGACCAGGTGCCGTGGGTCTCACTCGCCATGTGCTTCTTTCATACTTGTTTCCATTACCACGTCATCCACCAGGTGGGAGCCCAAGTCAAGACGTGACTATTCAGCAGCCATGTAATAGTATTGGATATAACATTCCTCCCAACCTTAATTTTTTTCTACAAAATATAAAGTTTAAAACTTAAAAAAAAAAACAGTCTTTGTCAATCATTATCCTTGAATATTCTGAATCCTAGTGAATTTTCAGTTTTCATATTGCATAAAGTCACATCTTGAGTGCTGTATGCTATGCAATCTGTTCTTAATGGTAAATATCAATTAATTTTTTTTTTTAATTAGTAGGTTTCTTCACCAGGTGTGGGTATCTTCCTTTAGGTTTGACTCTATCTCCGTCTGAGATTTTTGCCACTTTGAATTCATTTCTCATATTGTCAACTTCTTTGTTTCGGTCTTCTTTCTGACCCACCTCTTGGATTGAAGTTCCCAAGTCTCAATTTCTTTGTATGGCTTTGGTTACAATCTGCTTGTCATCCATAGTCTGAATTATTCTTTCTAAAATACGAGTATCTGCACTCTTACCAAAATCATTATGTTCAGCTTTTTCTCTCAACCTGGCAGTGAATGAAGATGTGGTTTCTCCTGAGAGCCTTGTTTTTTATTGAATACATAAACACTATGCATTTTATTTTGTTTTGGTTTGTAGTGAAGGTTCAGGTTTCCTATTTCCTTCTTCACTTTCAATTACTGGAGGATCTGGCAAGCATTTTATTTTGTTTCTAATCTCTTTTCCCCTGTAGCGCCTAAGGCAAGTTACCTTGTCTGCTTCTTGCAACTGCATTTCTTCTTGGAATTCCTCCAGCCATGTTTCCCATGCTGGCCCTGTATTTAGTCTATTTTCCGGTGGATTGAACGGTGTTACATGCAGAACAATTCCTGCTATGTGGATATATAGAACAGGTGGTTCTCCCTGTGCCATGTTAATATTTCTTACTTATCCTCGTCACCAATGTTATGACCGGGTGCCGTGGGTCTCACTCGCCATGTGCTTCTTTCATACTCGTTCCCATTACCATCTCATCCACCAGGTGGTGGCCCCGGTCAAGATGTGACTAATCGGCAGCCATGTATTAGATATAACATCATCCCAAACTGACCACATCAAGCAGGTCACTACAGAGACACATGATACTGTACACCAACTGTCAAACTGTTTGTGTGAGCTGAAAAAATAAAGAAACATTCATTATAAACATTCAACAGACCTGTAGCCAGCAATTTCAAAAGTTTTTTTTTCCCTAAAAAAAGTGGAGCTTTTACCATGAAACCACTGTGTACCTAAATAAAAATTTCCCCAGAGGGAACCTTTTCCCCAGCAAAAAGGACGGTTCCTCCGCATTCCCGTCATGTCTAAAAGTTCTGGCAGTGGTCCTGGGCAAAGTCAAATTTGGCAGCTTCCTCGTATTCACAGTTATTTGTACTTTCAAAAAATTGCTAATATGCATCTGATGGTTTGCCATGACTTCATGTAAAAAAAATCAAACTTAAAATAACCAATGACATCAGTGTCATTGAAAAAATTGCTGGGATAGTCACTGAAAGTATGTGCTGTGCAAAACGGGCGCCTCAAAACTGGTCATGACCGGCTGTATGTAGACACATAGATGTCTTAGATCACCTATATACATGTAATGAAAAAAAATGGGTTCATTTGGGTTTTATGTTGAGTAACAATAAATGAAAAACAGAAACAATCATTCTTACCAATTTAGCTTGGCATTCTATACGAAATTTTGAAGGACATTTGTTGTAATTTTACATCTTTAGCAGTCCAGCATGTCTCAACATGAGACACAACACTATATTTGAGAATGGTGAAGGCCAATTGCAATACTGTAATGTGTTGCTACTGAGTATACATGGCTATGTAATGTACGAGTTCCTAACATGCAAAGCCATTACTGCACTCGGTTGGAGGACTATGGCTTAATAGACAGTTATAAAGATACGAAGGATGAAGTGAACACTGCAAAAAATCCACACAAATAACTTTTATAGTAGCTCTAAGACAAGTACATCATGATCATAGAAAACCCTATTGCTACTTAATTAACTCTGCTAGTACTTATTAGGTTTTACCTCAGATGTTTCCAGGAATCCAGATCTACTGCATAACACTTATAACATTAGGATCACCAGATCCCTTTGTCTACCCTCTACCTCTTGTCTCTGCAGCTCCTTCCTACCTCTCTCTCTCTCTCTCTTTCTCTCTCTCTCTCTCTCTTGAAAACCCCGCCCAACTGTCGCTTTCAATCCCAAGACTTCCGGTACCAGATCACTACAACAAAGTACTCACCCTTCTGTCATCAAGAATGTCTTTTCATGTATTAAAAAGGATGCTGGAATCGTGGGATGTCCTACTGCTTCAGATAAAACTATTATCATGGTAACTCGTAAATATATCTTGTCCTAGGTATAACGTTATTTCATAACGTGTAAAATGTTCCCGCTCCGCCGTACTAAGCCCGACTAATAGGTCAAAGAAAACCCGCAGTAAATACTGGGTCACATCTCGGTACATCCGGTCACATGAAGCACGCCGTTGTTCCAAGTTATTATATCTTTTAATTTTTTTTCGTTTGGATATGATATTTTTGATTATTGATTGATAATATAATCATTACCTGAAAGGTTATTTTAAATTCTGTCTTTTTTTATTGTTATTATTATATATTTTCTTTTTGCTTCGACTTTGCACTGCTAACACAACACTCAATTTTAAGTTATGAGCAGATGGAGCATTTATAAGGACCTACACAGTTAGAGTAATTACCTTTAAAAATATACTAAACATACTTGAAAGTACTCTTAAGTCATTTTTGCCTATATTTCCGACAGGGGCGGATCCAAAGGTATTTTCTGACAGCCTTCCAAATTATCTTTGTTGATCCATCCTCCAATTTTTACCGTCTTCAGACAGAAAACATTAGATGCCGGACAATATAAACTTAAAAATCTGACCGTCTTCCGGAAGACCCAGAAGACGGCCTAAATCCGCCCCTGTNCATTTTTGCCTATATTTCCGTCGTTAAATTTCCTGCAAAGCTATTAGTACCTGTACTTTACTTTTATAGACTGCTCTGGGAGGCTAATATGAGATATATGCGCGTTTATTTTTTCAAAAGGTCTACATTTTTCTTCAATTCCAAGTAGGCCTATAGTTTCACAATGCCTGGTAACGAAGGCTTTGCAAATGGCTTCACAAGAGAAAAGCAGTTTTGTCGTGTTTCGTGTAAACCATCTGACTGTGCCCTGTCAACATATCGTCTATATAGTTAATCATGAGGGACCGCTGGGAAGGGGGGGGGGAGTGATCACAGTTCACGGTCGCGGAAAATAAAAATCATCAAATCACAAGTTATATAAATTAGATTAAAACTTTATTTATATCTCATTGAAAATGCTAGTCCAGCAAGCTGAAAATAACTATCGCCGAGTATAATGACTTCGTTTCACTGAGGACGAGGGATAAAATCCCGCAATATTCTCGATTCACGGGAATGGCATGGGGCGCTTCATGGATGACGCTTATTATTTATTAATAACATAAAAAGAACATCTTAGGAAACTGATAAGTGGCTTTCACGGGAAAGGAAAATACCCAATGAGGCCTTCAGTCATTGTCTTAACTAAAATGAATTTTTTATTAATGACTTAAATATTTCAAAAGCATCAAACAACTAAAATTTTAATTAAAATGATCTGCAGCAAAATACGCCATGGACGATTTCTCAGCTTTTAAAAGCCGGGCGACACCGCGAAAGTAGCTTCAAGTTATTAATTGCGTTATTTAAATATCTTAACATTCTAAACATTTTCTGAGACGTTGGACATTATACTTGCTTCCTAACAAGTTCTTAATTTTTTGCTTTATTGAAAATAATCTTATGGGCGAATTTGAGATGGTGTTGCGAGCAACAGTAACGAAGGTTTAAAATTGAGTCCGCATTTCGTGTTTTAAATATGATAAGCACAAGTGCTGATCTAACTTATGCAACAATTTTCGTGTGCATCGAAAGACTAAGAAAGAGGGAGAGAGACAAAAGGATATATTATCAATAATCACACAAAGTACCTCCGTGTTGGGAGTTCGACCCCCTTGAGGACTCAGATGATAGTTGTCGTCAATACTGCTTTTACATAACGTAACAAATGCAATCGTCCTTTGCGCTCATATCATAAACAGGAATCTTTCTTTTAAAAATTATTAAAAACATCCTTACATTTTAGACATATCTGTGAATATCTAGTGAAAAATCCATCTGAGATTCTGGTAGAGTGTACTCTCTCTCTCTCTCTCTCTCTCTCCGGCTCTCTCTCTCTCTCTCTCTCTCTCTCCGGTTGTCTCTGGCCGAATTCAACCAGTTCATCCTTAATTGGACCAGAGTCAGATAATAGACCTCTTTTGTGATAATTAACTGTTATGACTGATAAATAAAGCTGCATTTTTTCATTCGACCGCCTCTTCCGTATCCTTACGAAAAAATATATATAATGAAAACGCATCTGTAAAGATTAACTCCGAAAGAGCTTTTGGCTTGTGAACCTTCTTCAGGTACCAAAACAAGAATAAACAAGCAAACTACTTAGTACTGGTATAAGTGACGTATGATGCATGGAAAAGGGACGAAGTTGGAAGTGAGTGATAAACGTTGACGTCTTAAAGATTACGTAGGCCTAACAATAAAACAAGAATAATATTGAGATATTCATTGTCTCTATAAAGTCCTTTTTTAAAGTGTCTAATATTTTTATGAGCTTCTTTTCGACAATCCGTCTTTGTCTTGTGTCGCGTGTGTCCCTTTTAAAATGGTGACTGTTTGTACTGTGGTGGTTTTTGATGCGAGCTTTAAGGGTGCAAGACAGCTTTTTTCTATCGTTTTCATTTTCAATTACTATTATTTCTATTACTGTACATAGCTATCAATTATCTGCGCTTTAAGCTTGTAGTTTTGATTACAGATACAAGCAAGGCAAGCAAGAATTCTCTGGCAGTGCATCGTGAACTGCTGCACATGAATCAATAAGACATCAAACAACTTTCATTGAAAATAAACTGAAATTAAAGCTGGGGATTCTTTCATCTATTATCATTTCGAATGAACGTTAAATCTCGGCACGTACATCTTCATCTCCATCATCATACTTCAGTCGCAGTCCGAAGCGCGAAGTTCAAACAGTGCATACATATCAAAACCGTAAGTAGGAGTCCTTACGTAGGAAACATCGCGCTAGAGAACGAGTTCTTGTTGGCGGTATTGTCACTAATTTAGAGAGTCATGAACAAATCTGGATGAACCTATCTATAACAAAGCAATTATAACCTAAAAATAAAAAATAACTTTTTAGAATTAATACAACAAAAATTTATGAAAAGAATGAAGGCAAAATAATTCTAAATTAAAAATGGAATCTGAACGACAAATAAAGCTTCAAGCAAATGAAATTGAATATACAGTAGACTATACACACCCACGACTTACGCATTAGGCTTCAATTAATTTTTAAAATAATGTCGGTACCTTGTCAATGTATGGCAGGATTATCGATGCGCATTATGCAAAAAATTACTAAGGGGGATTAGCGGTGCGGGGGAGTATCGGTGCGGGGGAGTATCGACATGACCCCTGGCGGGTTGGGTGTCATGGGTCTATCCTTGGATCCTCAGCATTGCCTTAGATGTGCCGGTGTTTTAGTATAATTGTGTTATGACGTCATCACTTCATGCGGTCGTCCAATGATATTTGAGGATCCAAGGATAGACCCGTGACAGTTGGGGGGGGG